CGGGTTTTACGACAGTCATGGACTCCACGGGTTTTACGACAGTCATGGACTCCACGGGTTTTACGACAGTCAATGGACTCCACGGGTTTTACGACAGTCATGGACTCCACGGGTTCGGGTTTTACGACAGTCATGGACTCCACGGGTTTTACGACAGTCATGGACTCCACGGGTTTTACGACAGTCATGGACTCCACGGGTATTACGACAGTCATGGACTCCACGGGTTTTACGACAGTCATGGACTCCACGGGTTTTACGACAGTCATGGACTCCACGGGTTTTACGACAGTCATGGACTCCACGGGTTTTACGACAGTGACAATTGCAGTGAAACAGGATTTGTTTGTATAATTATATAATTGTCTGTTATATCACCACACTTATCAAAGTAGATATTTCCCAAAGAATCATATCTTTTGACTGAATGATAATTCAGCCAATAATATGATGTGATATACGATGGTTTCAGCTTTCTACTATGATCGCTAACGAGTTCCAACTGCCATTCGCCGTGTATCACATTTGACCAGAAACTCGAATTCCCTCAATTTTATCAGCAACCATAATACCATTTGATAGAGCAATCACTACCTAATTCTCCCTAGCGTATTCAACACGCATGCGTCAAAACACAATCCTAGGAGAACCTATTGGACTGACAGCATAATATATGAATTTCTGGATTTATATCAGAGTATATTCAAAATAGTGTGTGTCGAGACACATCAAAGTATACCCATGATACTGTAAGAATGCATCATCATGTGTTGCGACATATGGCATCATTTGGCATAACGCCTGAGTCAATAATACCCATATCTTGAATATTCACACGTACATCACATCTGTTTAAATACAAATATTGAGTTGAGTTCAACATAAATGATTCTCACAACTTTTCGAAACATCAGAGTGTAAATACCCCAAATGACCCAAAAGCTTGTAAAAATTTATATAGAGTTACGTAACAAAATATTTTTCAGATTAATTTATAATTGTAGCAACACAAATTGTATTTGATATCAATGAAAATCTAATTAAATAAGTTATTTAATTATTGACAGTACAATTACTAAATTATGCTGGATAACATCCGGGCACTGTTCCCATTTTATTGATTTAAACAGTAGTATGTGGCATCAGATTACATGGAACCCTTAACAGAGTAAATCAAATAGTAACTGTGTATAACATTAGAAACAAAATACATTTAAGCTCCAAAACACATTTAGGATATACAAATGGTATTCCCGAATCGGAAAGGAAAATATCAGAACTATAAAAAATAAAGATTCATTAATTTCAGTTAGCCATATGTCACATACCTCAAAAATCACACATTACTGCCTCAATGATGGGATAAGTTAATACTTAGTTGAAAAAATCATTTAAAATACAAGAAAAGACTAAATATGTCATGTTGTCACGAATACAACAAATAAATATATATTAATAAATATTAACGAAATGATTCTAAAGTTATACATAGATCTGACGAATACGAAGATTTCTTCCAAGTTGAAATAGAGAGAAAATGAAAAATGTATTCATGGCCCCTGCTAACACGCCGATGACTTGGCAATATATAGACTCACCTCTTTCGTTACTTTAGCTCAATCGTCGTGAACATTCATTGCCTGTGATAACAATAGGAAGTGTAATAACGGTTACCAAAAAACAAAACAAATAATCAGTATTAAGTAGAAAGACGCACTTTATATATATTTTAATTGTCCACAATATACCAATCAGAGTTTTAACAACACTGAATAAAATGGGGTGTTTATTTACAACAGCACTGCTGTGGTTATAAAACCACACTCTGGTTTACTTGGCACAATAATAAACAATTGAGAAAAGAACACAGAAAAGAAAATGCATCAGTAGTTCGTTTATAATATTTCAGCTTCAATATGAAATATCACAACAACTGTTTGCAGCGTGACGTTTTGCTTTGCGGAAGTTATAATCTTGAGCCGCCAGATGTTATTTCACAAAACCCGATGCGTGGTAGAAACACGCATTAAGTATTATTATCCATTCTCCCTTAAGATTACACGTACGTAGAATTGTATTAGTTTTCAGATTTATATTCCATAAACAAATATAAACTAACTGATTATATATTAATATGTATGGAATTCATTTTGTTAGATTACTTAAACCAAGATAAGATCAGAATACATTATACCTTCGAATGATATATAGTAGGTGAAAATAGGCAAAATAGTCTTTGTATAACTTGAGTTCCATGTATTTTTCTGTCACTAACTATTTATTGTATAGTTTGCTTTAATATTTGCTGTCATTTATTAGAGGAAATGATTAGATAATACAAATGCGCTAAACTCTATGAAACTTAAAATGGATGTTATTTGAGGAAATGCTGGTCTAAACAGGTCTAAGCTGGTCTAAAGACTTGTAACTTGAATTGAAAAAATATGAATATGAAAATAGTATAATTTTAAATCAGTACGTTTTCTATACGTTGTATGATACACGAGTAGTGTTCAAAGAGAACAAAGACATCAGCATATGGTCACGGGAGAGTTTCATTTTAGGTATAATCACAAGACTGATAGTGTTCACTGCATTATTGTGAACGCCTAAGATCTGCACCAATTCCGAGAAACGATAAACAAGATCACAGTCGTTTGATGCCGTGTTATTCGACACATTGTTTGTTTATCAGTTGCTTATGATTTAACTATGCACAGTTTTCATAATTTTTACCATTTCTTTTACATTTCATATTTCAATGTTTAGTGGAAGTTTCATTCATACACTTTATACCGTATGCACGATATTTAAATAATTTCAAATTTAGAATATTTAAATTTAAAATAGGGATAATTATCGTTCCTGGGCGCTGTTAAAGAGTAGAGTGTAAATTGGGTATATTACAACTAAACTTAGCAAATATCATATTGCTTATTCTTCTGATGGTACTTTTCGCACAGTAACGGTTTAGATCAGACGCTTGGTCAGTCTACTGATTACACTAAGCAGTGATTGGTTAAAAATATGATGATTGACCAGTAAATAATCATTTGTGCCATTCCACAAACAGCCTTATAGTATTGTTCCATTCCGTTACATACACATAATACGTATATAGCC